TAGGAAACAAGACTTCAAGACCACGGCCACACAGCCCGGAAGACCCACACCAGCCAACCAGCTACAAGTTTCCCTGTTACCAGAAGCCCCTCCTCACTGGTTCATAGGAAGGCTGTAAGATTCAGAAAGTCACTGCTCTAATGTACACAGATATATAATTGGTTGAAATTTTAAAATAGTTCACTTGCTGGAATTCTTATACCCTTGCCTCTTTCATCTCAGAAAATCTTGCTAAAGAGAACTCTGTGAGAAACATGCTTGGAAAAAATCAATCTCAGTTTAGGCAGTGTCCGAATGACCTAACAATAAATCTCTGGAGTTCCCCCATGATGGAAGTGGCCACTTTGGCTTCAGTTCTTTTCTGGTCTACCTCACTGGCCAAGGAAAGAAGACTGGAAAGTGGGAATCAAATTCTATCTCTAGCAACATGCTTTAGGATCCATAACTCATTCATTGCCATTGCTTAAGAACAGAAAAGAGAGCTATCTGCTTATTAGTTAAATTATAGGGTAATCTGAAATTAGGAAATAATCCTTTATATCCAAACCTTAAAAGCACTTCCATTTTTTTCAAATGCAAATCCTTCAGTTGTTACTAAATTAATAATCTTCTGATTATTATCTGATATATTTTCCAAAAGAAGCCTTGTAGGACGACATATACAAAACGTGTAACATCAGCATTTTGATACTATGCGCCCTTCCTTTCCAAAGTGAAAGGACAATCTGACCGTGACTATATCTGCACATAACTGTGATTCCTTTTGAACTTGTACTACCTGAACTTGCCTTGTTTTGGCTTGCATAACATTTTTCTGAAGGTTGAAGATTTCAGGATCTGCTGTGGTTTATCTATATTGAATCATAATGAAATAATATTAAATATTTTGCAGGATTGGGTATTATAATTGAGGGGACAAAGGCTATTCATTAAAAGGAAAAAGATGAAGATGGTCATTGAAAGAATCACATTTTTTCTCACAATTCCTCTTGAAATTAACTGTTTTCTTTTCATTTTTCTCAGCCAAATTGTTAACATTATGTAGACTGTATACCTGGAAAATGGTCTTAAGTGTTGGCAATAATATTAGGAACTGTGTACGGTTCCCATAGCAATTTGTGAGATGTACAATTGTTTCCCTAGTTAGAACCTCCCCTGGAACCCCACTGATGCCACTGTGGTAGATTTTTTTCAGATGCATTTTTTCCTCTGAATTCTTATGCTAATGGGAACAATGTAATATATCTACCCAGTGTTTATAAAATAATTGATTGCTATACACAAACGCATAGTACTGTAATTATAGGAAAAACAGGAGGAGTTTGGAAGGACAATGGATAAGTATAATGTATGTGAGAGCCAAGACAATATAATGGGTGGAGGGTGGGGGGAATAAACCAACCAAACAAAAACCTCATAGAGATTAACACTACTTCTCATACTAAGATTTCGCTTATGGAAGTGCTTGCACAAATCATTACAATCAACAACTGTCATTAAGTTGAATGATAAATTATATATTTATCTTCATAAATCAAATTCAGATATGATCGGAATCCAGGAATGCTTGGTATCTTTGCAGGTAAAAAAAAAATTCCCCTCTCACCC